AACGCGGACGGATTCTTAATATTCTATCGCGTAATTGACATATATCTCCAAGTAAGAGAAATTTATGCGAGTTCCTCGTTCGATAATGGGTCCACATAGGTGTAGATGAGAGAGAAATTTCTTACGTGAATTTTTCTTCAACAAGAGGAGTGAGAAAAGGGAAAGAGAGTGAGTGATAGAAAAAAGTGAGAAAATTGGTAGGTAGAGCGAGAACGAGAACTAAAGTGATAATGAAAAAGAAAAAAAAAAGACTGAGAACGAAAATACTATCGATTCGTGTTGTTATCTCACATTACAGAACTCTTAGAAAAGGAGGAAAAAAAAAGAAAAACGGGGCAAAGTTTTGGCTTCTTTTTCCTCCTTTCTTTTTCATGGCACTCTTCCCATATTCCAAAACACAAATCAAACAACCTTTTTTCTAATCCATTCGTGTTTCCCAACCTTGTAAAAAACGAGGAAACATACATAATTTGCCTCAAAAGAAACAAAACAAAAGTTCCCAGGGTAAGTTCAAAACCTTGAATATATGTTTTAGTAATTCCCATCGTTTTGATATGGCTTTTTAATTTAATCCGATATATTTTAGCCTTATTTAATTCAATCGCTCATGATTAGTGAAATGTTAAATTTTGTTGATGATCATTAAGCTTACCTAACATAATATCTTAGAAAAGAAGTCATCGAGAGAAGAAAACTAAAAATTCTCCAAATTTCTTAAAATGTTAGAGAAATTAAAATGTATTATATCATGTAAGTTTATCATCAACCAATTCTTATATTTCCGAGCAACAAGAGACTAAATTGAAAAAATACCAAAGAGGATGAATCTTATCCAGCACAGGAGAAGACACACACTTGTGGTAGCAAAGGCAAAGGCTTGGCGATGAGTGAATGGAAGAAGAGAAAATCAAAAGAGAGAGAGAGAGATAGCGATGGAGAACCAATGGAATGAGAATTTGGTCAATTTTTGCAGCGACATGTCGTTGGGTTCGTTCCCCACCCAACCAAAAAAACCAAACCCTGGTGGAATTTCCAGGTT